TGCAAGCTTCACTCTGGATGATGCAGTTTGTAGTACAATTTAGGCAGCTGCACATTAAGCAGGTAGGAAAAAAAGTTAAAAGGAAAACTTCACGGATCACAGGAACAGGCACGACATAAAGCAAAAAAGTCAAGATGCGAGAATAACAGCTTCAAGTTATGCGTCGAGGACACGAGGGAGAAAAATTTCAGCCACCACTGCATAATATATGATACATCATCTCTATCAGTAGCAGTTCTAAGGGAGGGGTAGAGGGGGGCCGCCCCCCCTTATTTTGGGTAAAATGATAAACGCTAAGGGAAGGAAAGCCGGCAGGTGAATAGACACAAACAAAAACACCCCCCCCTTAGCTCAAGGTCTGGATCCGCCACTGTCTATTTACACATTTGATAGATTTTGTAGTTGAGAAAATGGTCGAAACGCTTGTTCGTATGTTTTCAGCTTTTTAAGAGAGTTTAGGAATAAATTCCTTTAATTAAATTATAACTATATATTAATGGATGTTCTACAAATGTGTACATCAAGAACCTCTTTCTTTAGTATTGTGAATGGATCTTGTATTTTCATTACATGCCAGTGTCTAGGGTTCCCATGGTTACTTCGGTTTAGAAACAGCACACTTGCTACGCTCTCTCACATCTAGCCAATAAGATTACAGTTTGAAGGCATACTAGGTTGTCTGCGAAAAAAGAAAACTATTAAAATCGGACATATTGTTTAAAAAGTTTGTTAAATACATCACTAACCTTGTTGACATTGCCAGAGTCAATCAGGATGATATAAATAATAAATGAAGTTCTGTCGGAGGGAGTATTAGATTTAAGGCAGAAATCATAGTATTTAAAATCGTTCGCCATTGAGGCGTACCTTCATAGTTTAGGAAAATACGTTCAAAGGATACAGTGATGCTCAATAACACAACAAAAAACCCTTTACAAGACGAAGGAATTTCTGTGCAAGAGTTCTCAGGAAATTACATGATCGTCATACGTTATATAAATATTTTTTTCAGCTGTACAGCGCTACTCGGAAACTCAAGCATTCTACTAACCATTTGGAAGACATCGTTGCATTCGGCGTCGAATATTCTTTTATCAAGTCTTGCTGTTTCAGACCTTTCCATTGGTTTGGTTGTCCAACCTATTTTTGTGGCTGAAATGGAAACCTCAGCAACAAGAGAAGGTTTAGTCTACTTTCATATTTTGGGCAGCATGACCTGTACTGTGTCTTTGTACACTGTTTCAGCAATTACACTAGACCGTTTGCTTGCTGTTCAACTGCATTTGAGATATGAAATGGTAGTTACACCATTTCGTACCACTTTGATAGTAATACTTATTTGGCTTTACGGCGCCCTTTTTTCAATTTTTTGGCTACTGAATTTCGACTTGGTTTTCAAAGTTACCAGCATTTTTATTATATGCATTCTAATTGGGAACTTTGCTGTTTATTTGAAAATCTACCTCATTGTTCGACGCCATCAAAGACAAATTCAGCAACAGCTGCAGCTACAACAGCAACCGGGGAATAACGAAAACATATTGCACATAAAAAGATTCGTGAGATCCGCTGTGAATATTTTTCTCCTGTATATCTTACTTTTGTGCTGTTATATGCCCTTTGCAGTTTACCTTCAACTGAATTTTGTGAGCAAGAGGGATTCTATTGTTTATATCACAACGATGACATTAGTTTTTGTCAACTCCTCGCTAAATCCATTGTTTTACAGTTGGCGAGATACCGAAATTAGGACAGCCTTGAAACACCTGTTTTGGCGATCGTTTCAGACCTGAAACGTTTATGATCTGATCAGAGACTCTAGCTCCAGTCACGGTGCTGCGCATTTCCACGTTATTTATCAAGTGATTACGGAGTCAGTCATATCGAGGTATAAACCTCCAGCTGCACCAAATTCGTCTTACTGCATCACCTCAAGTTGGAGTACAATCAATTCAAATGTCGAGGAGAAGCTGTTTGTTGATAACTGCTGGAAAGCCGATTACACTTGAAATCTGCCGACCGGATTAGGGGGAGAAATGAGTTGTTTTCTTAGTTCAGTACTATTGACGGCGTAGCAAACAATTTCATTGACTTAGATAAAGGTTTACAGTTATCTATAACTGTTTTCTTGAGTTACAACTCTTAAATCGATCAAATGACAGAGTATGGGCATAGATGAGTATACACTATAATACGCTGTAATCATGAGCCGAAAGAGAAAAATAACGGAGCAAAGATACGAAGTTCTGAAATTCCCCGACTGAGAAAACCCTGTTAAGTTATTAGTCTTCTTAGGTGAAAGCGGTTTTTAAATATCACATTTAATTCTGTTAATATACGTTTGTCTTAACCTGCGCTGGTCAAGTGTATTTGCACAGGCATATATTATGCTTTAATTTTTTTAAAAGTCATGTTTATGAAATTGATCCCCTTACAACACCATTCGAGGTTTCTTTTCTTTGTCATTGCATATGGTAGCCGAAGCCTAAACACGATGATATGCGGGCCTATTTTTGACACTTGCCGCTTTATCTTGAATATGTTCTATCCTTTTCTCTTAGTTAGAGCTTTTTTTGCCCTGGTGTATGTTCAGATAAGAAAAAATTAGAGTTCTTGTGGATTCTTCAACACTTCCGAGCATTAATTTTGTCGAAAATAACGGCGCTGATCATTACTTACTTTGCGGGGAATCGTTTGTGGCCTTCGGTGTCTGAAGTTTGCCGTTATCTTTCGATTTATTTAATTTTATTTTTATTTCTATTTTAGTTAGCTTCGCCAACCGGCAGCGACACCGCAACAGCTTGCGCCGATTACTGCGGGCCCAATAATCTCAACCCAGGGGAGGACATCCATCACACAGTAATCTCGTGTGTGGGAAATTAACGTCTCCTACCCCAACCCTGCAGGAGACGGGACCTCCATTTGTTTGTCCCTATCCGAGAAGACTAGAATATCTAACCATTTCTTGATCGATGTTATAGAAAGGCAGCAAATTCTTCTCAATTATTTTAAGACCCTAAGTGTTGGTCCGGCCGGGGCTCGAACCCTCGACCTCCTGCACAACAGTCCAGCGGTCTATCCATTGAGCTAACCGGGAGTCGGTATTACTTTTTGCTGAACTTTCAATCTTTGCGCCACAGTTAACGAGATATTTCTCTTGCATCGTGTAAGATGTCACGGCCGCGTGACAGATGCACGCAAATTATCACCGAACCGTTAGCCCGGTGAAGAAAAATTCATCACGCAAGTTTTCACAATTTCCTTGATGGCGAAGCCGACAACGAATGGATGTCACGGCCGCTTCGCGTGACAGATGCAAGCAAGTTCTTACCAAATGTTAGCCCCGTGAATTGAAATTCGTCTCGCAAGTTTTCACAGTTACGCTGATGGTGGAGCTTTATGCCTATAATGTTCTGGAGTTCGCTTATACAGTTCGCTTATACAGTTCGCTCATACAGTTCGCTTACAATTCGCTACCACAGCTGCATACCTCTACTTTGCAATCAAGATCAAATGATAAAATGATGCGTTGAAGGTTGAGTACAGTACAAAGCCAGCAATGCGATCGATCGCACAGATTATGTTCTCCGACCCAGTTCTATGGAGAATCAGTGCATCAAGAGCGATTGTCAATGGCATAGAAACTGCGCCAACTACGAGATCAACGCAAGCCAAACTGGCCAGAGGAATGTTCGAATTTGTCTGTAATTTCTTGTATCTTTTTACTGCCACAATCACGAAAACATTCAAAAGAATAATTGGACAGGCAATGGTTGTTACAAAAAATTGATAGTTGAAGGGAAAGTGTTTGCTTCAGGGATTAAAGTAAGGTATTAAGTGGGGATTAAATACCAAATGTATTTTACAACCTGAGACTTATATTCTGCATGATTTATCAACGCATCAGCGTGGGAATATCGAAATCTGGAAGCACGTGGGAAGCTTGGAGAACACGAGTGAAGCGTAAGAGTTGCTCGAAGGCAACCGCAACAAATACCCTTTGGGGTTGACGAGCCAATTGTTTTGACAATTTCAACTGAGCATTTTAGGTGTGTCAAGGGAAATCCCACTGCATGCTACACATCCATGCCCGCACTCAGATTAATCATCAGCTTGGTAAATGGTTATATGAAGCGACCTCGCGTACCTGAACTCAAACAAAGATACACGAATTTATTACCTATTGTGTTCATATCACATTTAAGCAAAAGGTTCTACTCCTCTCCTCTCGACGATATTCACATGTACGGTATTTGGCAACTGAAGTATCTGTTTCCTATTGCTCCCTTTACCTTTAAGGTCGGCACACACGAGGGGACTAGTCCCTGCGATTAGTCCGTGCGACTAGTCCCGGCGACAAGTCTTTGAAGGGTTTACACGAGGGGACCGGTAGCA